TACTGTATGGCTGTCATAGCTACGCACACCTAACACATTTAGTATTAGGAACAAAAGCACCTGAAAGAGAAATTAAAAAGTCCATTAGAAATATGACTAACATCAGATCAATGGTTAAGCATTAAAGCAAAAAAGCTTGCTTCCCGCATTCACAGGGACACTGAGATTCTTTCCCAGGTACGTAAGAACAGGACTTCTGACAGCGGGATGTGTGGATATCCGTGAGGATCTTTAGTGATGGCTTTAGAGATCCACATGATCTTTAGTGACGGCTTCCGGACTCTTTCCTTTATGAACAGCTTCTAAATACCAATATCTAATGCTGTAGTTTCAGATCTTTGCCCTTTAGCTACAAAAGGACTATAAATATGCAGCCATGGCTATTCAGTGGGCCGTGTTTGGGCCTAGGGAACAGACACTTACTTCTTGTGGATTATCTATTGATAGTTTTTTTTTTGGTTTTTCTCCGGTACCGGGAACCGAACTCACGACCTTGCGCTTGCCAGGCAGGCACTTTTGCCGCTGAGCTAAATCCCCAGCCCCTTCTATTGATAGTTGATTTTTTTTTTTTTTTTAACAAGAACATAGAGAAATAAAATACAGTATTGGGTCTGTCCACCTTACCTCCTTTTTTATGAGCCACTTCTTGTGTCTATATTTCCACTGCAACTGTGACATTTCTGGCATAACCATTTCTTTAAGTGTGTTACCTGCTGTATAATGGAATCTTTGGAAGTGTGCAGGCGTGTCTGCCTGGCTGCAGAATTTGGAGAGGAAAGCCGGTCTTCCCTGTCTCCACAATGCATGATTCAGTGTCTTCTTTTCCCTCTACTCTTTTGAATAAATAGACATTTATTTTTTCTTTTTGCCCTTCGCACATTCCCACAAATTATGAAACCCAGATATCCGTTAATGAATGAGCTGGAGGTCCCGTGGGGTTGGGAGTTGGTGCAGCTTCATAGAGTTACACTCTTACAGCAACATTTAATCTTTTTTTTGAGCCAGATTTTTCTGCAAGATTGCTTAGACGTCCAAACGTTCTTTTTATACGGTTGCTCAGAAATCCAAATATATATGTACTGTATTCAGTTATAAGTAATCCGGAGAAAGATGCAGCCAGTCACATGGAGAATGAAATTTTTTGTTCACAGTTAAGAATTATCTTTTTCCATTAGAGATAATCAGAGCTGGTATTTCAGAGTATGTGGAGGACAAGCAGCTGCTACCCGCACATAGTTCTCAGACTCACTCCTGCTAGTTTTACCCTTGTGAGACAGATCCAAAGTACCACAGCAGACATACGCCACTGGCCTAACCATGATTTGTCTGTGGCCAGGACTGTAGGAAAGACAGTATGCTCTGGTTATAACTTTAAATTCATGAACATGCCGCCACCTCATAGCTTTCCTCGCCGAGGCTAACCTTTTAAAAATCTAGTTATAGTACAGGTCCATGCATTACTGAAGAGAGTGGGTTATGCCCCCTAATGAACCTCTGTGAATGTCCTCAGGATCCCTGGACAGTGTGGGGTGCTCTTACTCCCGAAGATGGGTGCTTTTGGGCCCTTTGGTATCTCCAGGCTGTGGATTGAGTTGTTGCTTTGTGGGTGACAGTAGTGTCAGGCCTTGTCTCCAGCAAGAATCATTTTCTAAGTTTTTTGCCTTAAAATAGGATGATATTCCTGTAGCAGTGTTAATAAAGGGATTTGGTGGCAAAAGGTGAAAAATGAAGGCAAGGTTTCAAACATATTACTATAGATCTTGGTTTAATAATATTTTGCATGTTATTTGGAAATTGTAGCATATTATTTGAAAAATATCTGAAACTACTCACTAATTGTGTGTACAGAACTGCGGCTCAGACGCTTAATGTTTGTAGAGCCAGAATCGAGTTCAGATCCCATTATTGTCACATACTTTCTGAGAGCTTTTGCCCAAGTTGCTTTTCTGAGCTTTAGTTTTTGACCTCTGTAAAATAAGGATAGTAGCCAGATGTGGTGATGCATGTATGTATTCCAGCACTTGGGAGGCTGAGGCAGGAGGATTGGTGCAAATAAACATTAATTCAGGTCAGCAAATAGGGCAGGAAATTGACAGAGGAGGGGGCACCATCGCTACCTGGTGGTAGCTGCACATCAGTAGTCTCCAAAGGATCTGTTCTCTTCTTCCCCTCCCCCAAATACCATCTGCTCTGCCATGACAAACAAAACTTGATAATGAAGGACCCGGATCACAATGAAGATCTCTAAACTGTCATGAAGAGGCCACTCTTTCATACCTGTGAACGCCCCAACTGTTGTGGGGTCCAGGCCCATGGTTTTCTGATGCTGAATGTTTTAGACTGGGATTGCACAATGGAAGAGGTATTCATTATCCCCACCGAAGACCCGTCACTGCTAATGTTTTGCTTAACAAACACAGTGATTTGGGGGACAGCTGTACACGGGTTGTTAGGCTGTTATTTCCTTTGTTGTTTTGACCAGGAAATTGTATAATATTAGACTGACGAGGATCTTAGTCTCTCAGCTGCCTTATTTGGGGCGGGTGCAAAAGAAAACAGGATCGAGGAGGGCAGAGGGCTTGTCCAGTGTCCCCCGCTGGGCATGGCAATATCTCAGTGGAGGCCCCCATTCTGTGGTACTTCCCCCGTGTTCTGAGTGTATTCCGGATTCTGCTTTTACCTTTCCTAGGATCATAGGCCTTTTATTTGCTTTTGATATGATATTAATGAGGCTTACATTATTGCTAAGACTATTTTACATTCATATAAAAATCTTATTTTATATTTGAAAATGTATACCTATATTCATTCGCTCATGTAATGGTGAATGGGAGAGGGAATAATGGAAGAGTTTAAAATAGCTATTAATTTGCGGGCTGATAAGCTGTGAAGAAACAAGACTGGTTTTGATAATGGAATTTGAATTAAAAATTACAGCGCTTGCCAGGTATGGTGGCACACTCCTGTAATCACAGCGCTCTGGGAAGCTGAGGCAGGAGAATAGCGTATTTGAGTCCCACTTGGGCAACTTAGCAAGGCCCTGTCTCAAAATAAAAACCAAGACAGGGCTACAGGTGTAGTTCACAACAAAGGTCCGGCTTCAATCTCTAGCACTGCTAAGAAATAAAGACTAAATAAATTTAAAGACATTATTCATTATGTAATGAATGGCATGCTTACTTTAAATCAAAACAAAATAATCATTATGTTTACATTTAAATAGTGTGCAAAAGGGAAGGCCATTTAAGGAAAGGTAATATTTCAGTTGCTGGCTTTACTCATGTGGCTAGACCTGCTAGTTTCATTGAACAAATATTTGCTTTTTATTATATAAATCTTCACAATGTTTCTAATCTTGGGAAATTAAAGTGTTTATTAATGTACCCATGAGCCACAGAAACACTTTACTTGATACACTCTACAGTGTTCTTTGACATGTTTATCAAACCCTAATTATCAAAATTCTATCTTTCTGGGAAGAAATGCCATTGAAAGTGTATGCCGTGCTTGCTGACTTCTTCACTGTGTATGTGTGCATGTGTTTTGAGGTGCTAAGGATTCAGCCTTCACACTGAGCTATATCCTCAAATACCACCCCCATCCTGGTTCTTTTTTTTTTTTTCTTTTTTGCAGGGCTGGGGATTAAACTCGGGCTTTGTGTGTGCCAGGCAAGTGCTATACCACTGAACTACCTCGCCAGCCCAATTTTTTGAGACAGGGTCTTGCTAAATCCTCAAGTTACCCAGGCTGGAGCTCAAACTTGCTATCCTCCTGCCTCAGCCTCTGGGAGTGTTGGGATTATGGGCCTGTGCTACCATGCCCAGCAGGTTTTTTGTTTGTTTGTTTGTTTTTGTTTTTGTTTTTGTTTTTTTAATGCAGCATCTAGAATTTGTAAATTTAATGATTTTATTTTTCAAAGCTGTGCTCTCTTTGGGCATGTGCAAAAGCAGGTTTCTGTGCAGTACCACTTGAAGTTCTCTTTACCTCTCCTTCCTGGTGAATGAATAGGTGTGTGCACCTAGCTAGGAAGCAGAAATGAAGGAAGAATTTGGATGGAATTCGTGACCCTAAGAACATTTTCCATTCTTTTCATTCCTACAGAGGCATAAAGTGAGGCTGCTCTGTATTTCAATAACGGATTTTAAACAATTACACAAAATCCATGACACCATATCATGAAGTGTTTTGCAATTAGTTCTGTTGCTTCTGAATCTGTTCCAGCACTGTGGCTTCGTTCAAAACGGTGCCTGATCTTTTTCTCAGTAATACATCTAGTTTTGAGGAATTTCCGAGGCAATTGTGCATTGGTGCTACAATTTCAAAATGTGGAGTGTTGATTAATGCTTTAGTGTGGGAACAAGGCAGTGTTTCACAAAGCAGATGCTCCTTTCTTTAACTTTAAAGCGCGGTGACATTGGACAGCACCCTCTCCCCTGGTCTGGATCAGGGCTATTGTTTGTGCAGTTTCTTGAGTAGTTAATGGCACTTCGTGCAGGGAGCGTTTCCAGGCTTCTGGTGGCTTCCCCTTGCAGGAGACACACAGAAATCTGGGCATAAAAGAAAGCAGACAGAAAACATTTCCGCCTGGTGGACATTTCCACGTGCAATTATTGCCTTTGTGGTGGGCGAAAGGACTCGTTGTGGGCTTTCTGCTGCCTTCCCAAGGCGCGTGGAGGGAGCCCACGGAGCACGTGGTGCCCCTCCAGGGCCGCCTCGCAGCTGCGTACGAGTTCGGCAGCACACGACCACGTCTTCCCGGTGCCAGCCCGGAGCGGCGATCGCGCCGCGGAGCCGGGAGGAGGAGGAGCCTGCCCCGCGCTCCCTCGCTGCGCAGCCGGCGAGCTCGGGCTCCGCGCTCTGCGCCGCCCCCGCGCCTTGCCGTGGATCTCGATCGGGCAGGGTGCGCGCAGGGCGCGGGCGGCTGCAGTGCTGCTAGCCGAGAGGAAGCCCGGGAGGGACCGCCGGGGCCATGGGCCAGCTTTGCTGCTTCCCCTTCTCGAGAGAGGAGAGAAAGATCTGTAAGTGCAATGTGTGCTGTGTGCTAGGGGCTTGACTGTTGCGCGTGGTTGTCTTCTGGGGTAGTTTTGGATTTTCTTACGGGAAAGACAGCAGAATAATCAGCTATGGTTTTTAAATGTGCATTTCTAATGGTAGGGGTTTAATTTTGAATTAACTCTCAAACTACAGTAACTCAGCCCACAGGCTATGTGAACAGTGCAAAATACTGAAAACTCATTTTTTATTTTGCCGATTTTCTTCACATGATCTAAAGTCAGAGTTTAGTTCTGAGTTTCTTTAAATTACTGCCTTCAATTTGATACACTGAACAAGCCAGACTTCGTATTTTTTCTCTGGAACTGGCATATTTTCAAAGCAGTTCTCAGTCACAACATGCAGGGAGGTAATGCTGGTTTCAAAATGACGGATATTATACATTTGCAGAGATTTTCGTGTGTCCTCTGCTTTGTTCTTCACGGAAGGGATTCAGGTGGAACTGTAAGATCACCCTAAATGGGCAAAAACCTCATTGAATATTTTAAATTCAGTGTCAGGCAGATTCCACATCTGCTTCCAGCTCGGAACACAGAACTTAAAAGTGGTGATATTTGCACTGAAAATTTTTTATCATTGTCTTATGCTATTTTCACTTACCTTTCAGCTGTGTTAAAGAGGCTACTGGCATTTTAACTAGAGTGCTGAAAAGAATTTGCCTTATATTAGTTCCCCCCAATACAGAATTTTTACTTCCTTTTAAACAAAATGTTTCCAGCACACGTGCTAAATCTGCAGCTGTAGATCTGTTATGCCAGCGCTTAATTTTAATTTAAATAGGTCCGCAGAATTTCTTGGTATCTACTTCAGATACTCACAGACCCACATCTGGCTTGTATTTCCTGCTGCTTCTTCCTTAGGAAACTGGCCAGGGATAGGTTTTTAAAAAAATTAATACATATTCTGTGCTACCCACTTGGGGAATAAGTCAGTTTTTACAGTCAGTCTTTCGGGAATGCTCTGGAATCAGCGTTGGGAGACTTTGGAATGTTTGATTGTGAACAAGAGCCAATAAGCTGTGCTTTGATTTTATTTGTGAAAAGGATACTGTACAGTGTGTGACAGTTTGGGTCTCACAACCTGAGATGACCTCACAGCTCCATTGCTCACTTTCTAACAACAGGCGTTGGCATCCGTTTGGCAGTCCAGAACTTTATAGATAATTGTCAGAATGATTTATTTGTAGATCCTGGAGATTTTGGTGGATTGATTTCATTTTTTGGAGGACCACCCTATCTAAAAATGCTTAGCATGGACAGATGCAGGGATACAGAATTCTTCCCTTATCTCTTTCCTTCCTGTTCTGCTTGAGGTTTTCCTGTGGAGCGCTTGCTTTCCTTCTGCTCCATGTCTTCTGTTTGCCAGCAATGTTCTTGGCTCTGTCTGAGGAAGTCGAATGTCACTGCGGCGGGGAATTGCTCTTTTCTCTCCCTCTTACCTGGGTCTGTTCAAAAGTCCTGTGTTTTACACTCAATGCTTCCTAACACTAATTGATGTACTGATGGATGAGAAGTTCTCATCAGTGTAATTCCATAACTCCAAACTCTCACGGAGAAGATGAAGGAAGGCAGGACATGGTGTCTGAAGTGAAGTTGTAGCGCAGGAGTGCTGAGGATAGACCCAGTGCTTTGTGCCCCTCCCCCCTCCCCTCTGTGCACCAGGTCTTCCACATTCTTTCCTCATCATTCTGCCTTCTCCTTTTGATTGTGGGTATTTCAGTGTTTTTTTTCCCCCTCCTAATCTGCACACTCCGTTCACACGCCCCTTGCACATGTGTACACATATTTTAACTGCCTCCTGATGCTGTTTCATTGCTCTGCTACAGGGTGGTCTAAGAGAGGGTTCTAGGCCAGGCACTACTATCCTGCTAGTAATACATGCCTAGCAGTACTTATCTAGGGGCGTTTTAGAAAGCTACAAAGAGTTCCTGTTCAGCAGGCCTCAGGAAGCATAGCAGTTCACACTAACTGGAGACATCCAGTCCATACGTTTTGTGTGGGTGATGTCCAGCAGAACCCACAGGACATTTGGGGGAGGCCAGCATTGTTCTGATCTTGTTACTGGTTTGTACAGTAACTCTGGGTCCTAGTTCCGTTTGTGTCCCCTCTCGGTGGGCCCCTCACTGGCCTACTGTGAGTCACGTGCTCTGTGAGACCCCATTAGGAGCAGAGAACAAGACCACCCGAGGACCCGCTCTCTGGTAATGCTCTTGTAAAGGGCCGGGGCTCTGGGGTGCTCTTCCAGGGAGGAGCTCAGCTCCCTGAGAGTTCAGCAGGCTTTTGGTGAAAGTTTAAATCTGTGGGTGTCCTTCTCAAAACACAGGTGAGTTGGAAAGCTCGTCCTCCGCAGTCCTACAGAGATACAGCAAGGATGTACCCACCTGGCCAAGTGGTAAGACGCAAGAGACCCCTCTCCTGTCCCACTGTGTCCCCTGCTTTGGCCTTTGGTGGTGGTGGTGCTGGTGCTGGTGCTGGTAGATAGAAAGAACTATAATTTAGTTAAATTTGGTTCAATTTATCGATGTTACTGTTTTAATCTATTGATAATGAACAGAATGATTTTTTTAATCAGCCAGTTGTTCATATGGAGTATTAATTGAATGCTTAGCTGGAAATCTTGATAGTGGGGTGAATCGTGGTGTGCAGCAGAGCTCTGCGTGGCTTCTATATCAGCGAAAGGAGCACAAAGCAGAGAGGCCATTTCTGGTCGAATCTAAGCAGTTGAACATTTCTCCAAACTGCATTTTTAAAAACTATACTAACTAGAATATGCTGAAAATAAATGCATGTTTCTTGGAAGATGAGGCTCTTTCTGTTCCCATATAGGAACATTCTTGACATTAAAAATAACTAGATACTGTAGGAATAACAAATAGATAGCTGTTCTGAAATGGGGTTCTTCATTTTGTTTTTTGGCAGTGCTGAAAATTGAATCCAGGGTGTTGTACATGGTAGGGAAGAACTCCAGCACTGAGCTTGCCTCCACCCCAGTGGAATTAGTGCTGAAATCTCATATAGGAGTCTTTTCTTTGAATTACCTAATTTCTCCTGGTGAGTTACCTGAAAGCAGCATCTGTGAACAGTCAGTGCATAGGCGTGCTGGCCGCTGCGGTTTATCCATCTCACCAAATAAACCTCGAATGAAAACTTAGCAGCTGAGTAGACACCTCTATAATGATGTAGAAATTATTTTCCTTTCTCTTTTCTTACTGCATATATTTCCATTTTGAAGCACTACACTCTTATATAGAAGAAAGTAGGTGAATGGAACTGCTTCCTGAGGTGTTCAATCCCTGGTCCCTGGACATGTCCAAGCATAGTCCAGGGAAACCACTCACTCCTAGGGCTTAAGGGGGAAGGGGCCAGCCCCAAATGAGACTCTCTTCTCCATTAGCTCCTCTCTGGTGCTCTGTGATGCTGAAAACAAAATATGAGGATAATTTTTTTAACAAGACACAGTTTTATACATGAAAAACATTTCAATTAAGTCTTCGTGAGTGAGGTTTCTTGCCAGGACCATTTATAGTATTCATTTTGTAAATATAAGTCAAATCTTAAGATAATATCTGATGGCTTAGAATTTGATGGTATTACATTAATATATAAGTTGAGGTATGCAGTTTGGATTTCATATCTGATGAATATGTTCTCGTTGCTGGTACAAAATAGCCAACACCCACAAGTTGAAGGAGGAAAGGTTTATTTTGGGTGATAGTCTTTGTCAAGGTTTCAGTCCATAGTTGGCTGGCTCCAAAGCAGGGTGGAATGGCAGAGGGGTAATAGTCCATGGCAGGGAAGACAGGAGGTAGTGAGCCTTCCTTCTTTCCCTTTTTATTCCATCCAGACAGCAAGCCTATTGGTTGGTGCTACCCACACCCAGGGTAGGTCTTCCTTCTTCAATAAATCCATCACCCACACCCAGAATTTGCTAATACACTCAGAGGACTCATTCAGTGTCACACTCCTGTGAGCCAGTCACCTCTCAAAAACGCCACCTATGAATACATGAGGCTTTGGGGGGACATCTAGATATTTTTGTATCATAATTACCTTAATATTGATTTTTCAGTTATACTCAGGGAAACTGTATTTAGATTTGCTAATTCTCTAGAATGCTTCCTAGAAATCTTGATGCTTTATACTTTTTGCTCTTGTCTTCTGCACATAAGATATACCAGCCTCATGATTATCTTCTCTCTGCTCTGTGTTATCACAAGGGTTTCCAGCACCCCACATTAGGACACACATGATAGGCCTGTGTTGGTTGCACCAGACCCTAACCGTATCTTACCAGGGGGCGGCATGTGCCAAATTCCTGTCAATCAAGCATGCTTCCTGTCAGGTACCAGTATGAGAGAAGGTCAGTATAAATAGCCTACCACAGGGCAGAATTTCCTAGTCGTGAACTGTGAACTACGATTTTGAAAGTTTATTGCTTTTCCCACTTGCCTCTTAGAGCTACAAGTCTAGGGAATAAAAGAATGAGTAATGTAAGTAAGATGCTGTTCTTTCCTTGCCCCTTAATTTACTGGACATTTTCTCTGTGCCAGGACTATTTTCAAAACTGATTATGAAATGTAATTGTCAGAAAATATACGTTCTCCGGCTGCCTATTTCAAAGGGGAAGTTTCTGGAAGCCAGAGGAGTAGGGGACTCTGTCAGTTACAAAGTCCTCCAGGGCCATTATGGGGACAGAAGCTGGCAGGAGGCCCGGATCCCAGGTTGCTCAGTGTGTGTGGCTCCTTCTGAAGAGTGTAGCCTGCAAGACTGGGTAACTTGAGACAACTTTTTGCATGAGATCTCTCTGGGCCATATTGTGGGGGCAGTAGGGATGTTGTGCAGTGAAAAACATTGAGTGTTAGTCAATAAAGATTAGATTTTTCCCTTATTAAATAATGTATACCCAGGAGGTTTGTTTCTAAAGTTAAATATAGAAATAGAAGAGCAAATGCTAGTAGTTACTCTTATTTTATCTCCCTGGTATCCTCTTGTTAATTCACAGGCTATTTGGTAACTGTATCCTTTGTTGTTCTCACACTATTTGAGAGTTTGCCTGGATTCTTCCATCAAATGCTGGATGTTCCCAGGCTGTAGGAATGTTCTAGCTCCTGGAGCAGCTATTGGTTGCTGTGAGCTGTCCCATATGTATAGTAATGGCAGTGACAACCTAGCCCAAAATAATGTCTAACGGAGGAATCTGAGCCATTAGGCTAAGGCTGGTAAAACTCTTTGTGGGTAGGTGATAAATCACTTCCTGTAGATCTGTTTAATTTTGGCCATGCTTAACATGTTCTTTGAGCTTTCATCCACAAACTTCAGAAACCCATCACTAAAAAACTTAAAACACTCTAGTGCTGTGTGGTAGAAAAGTAGGTTTTGGAGACAAACAGACTCAGTTTATAGTTGTGGTTCGAAGGTTTACTATTTAACTTCTCTAAGCTTCATTCCCTTCATCTGAAGAAATATCTGTCATGAAAGACTTACATTCATAAGATGACACTTGCTTAGCATAAAATAGATTCAGTAAATATGATTTTTCTGTAACACATAAAGAGTATGTTAATTGCACAACCAGGGGCACCTTGGAAGTCAGCCTGATAGAACTGTGTTTTCATTTCCATCTTACCCAGCAGGGGAAATCAAGAACTTAGGAGACTTGAATTGTTGAGTAGGTTACAGAATTAATATTCATAGCATCTGTTCTTTTGGGGGACTCTCTCCCCCTTTTCTTGGGTCTCAGCTATCATAATGCCTTGCTTTCTGTGCTAGGAAAGACGTGGGGTCCAAGCAAAGTCAACCACAGTCTTCCTTAAGATTGGATAGAAGGTCACGAAGCCGGCACCAAACAGAAGAGCCTAGGGAAGGAGAGAGAAGAGATACTCTTAATAACATTTTACCATCTGAGTTGAACCATGTATAAGAATTCTGTCCTCCACAAAGCAGTAAATCCACTCCTTTTCTTTGCTTAAACTTGGTTGGGTTAAGCTTTTGCATCTGGAGCCAGAGCCTTTGGATGTGATTCTGAGGGATTCTGAATGTACATAAGTAGAAAAAAACCCCATTCTGACATCTGAAGTTACTATGGTTACACAATTAATACATTCTAATTGTTGCAGAAAAAGATAATCACCTGAGTTTATTGTATGCCAAGCTCCAATTTATATCCTGGAACAAATATTACCAAATTTAGTGAAAAAGTGAAAGTTCTCTGATTTCTTTTGAACCTTCACGTTCTACTTCAGTTGCAGTGAAATTTAGCCCTATGTGAGAACTGCTGCAGAGAATGTTTCCACGTACGTCAATTAGTATTGTGGCACTTGTCACATTCGGAAGGCTCTGAACCAGGTGTTCTGGAAGATACAATGGGAAAGAACATATGGTCTCTATTTTTTTCCTTGACTTCTTAATGAAAAATGTGCTGGATCCTAAGGTTTGTTATGTTCTGAACAGAAGAAGCCAAAGGAAAGGACTTTAGTGCTTTCAGTCTAACAAGTGAAGCCACACCCTTACAGACTTGGGAAGTTTGATAGCTAAGTCATTAAGTCTAGTGAGAGCGAGTTAATGACCACCAAGATTGCGATTATCACAAGGTCCTATCACAGGCAGGGTTTACAACTTGACATGAACAAATACAGTTTCTACAGCACATGTTTTAGCAAGTGAAGCATTCATAATGCCAAAGTTGTAAGTTAACAGACCTGAGAAGTGTGAAAACAAATCTTTCCATTGCATAGGAAAGTTCTTTGCCGATGGCAAGTGGCCATGGACAGAACCTGAATTACATGATGAGAAAAGAAAGAATAAGTGTAGTTTGAACTTAAATTCTTTGCTAACTAGGACATGTGTTAATTTTATTATAAGCTAAATCAAAGGTATTTGAAGCTTATAATTTTTGTTTTTACACACTTCCCTTAAAACTTAAGAATATAGTCAAGGACATTTATAAACATAAGAAATGTGTATGAAAAGATTATAGTACCAAGGAGATAGTGATGTACAAACAAGATACTTGGAGTAAAAGGAGAGGTTTCCTATTCCCAAGAGAAATGGAGCCCACCAGTTAGGAATGCTATTGGGAGAGGGGAGAAGGAAGCAGGTGGAGCAGGGTGACCCACTTCTAGTTATCCATCTCAAAAACCAACCCCAGCCCCCACTCTTCGTGCTCACATGGTTGTTGTCAGCATTTGCCACGTGAATGACATTAAGCTTCAACTGGATGTGTCATATGTGACTCTTATGGAGCAAAAATGAAATTCACACTTTGTAAGCATTTCAAATGTTCAGCTAAAGTTAGCTGTAAGGTCAGTGTTCTAAGTGATGTTTGCAATGCCTAGTAAACTGGCAAGCAGATAATTTGTGCATCTAAGGCTCTCTAGCTAGCTTTATGGTGGTCAAACGTTTCTAGAGCTCTGGCAACCCAAATGTGTCCTTAGGGAAGCCAGAGTGAAGCACAGTCTGGAAATCACATCACAGGAAGAAAGCTTGGCTAGGATGACAGAAGGAAAAAAAATTCCTTGTCTTTACTGATCTTCTAATGTGGAAGAGAAAAGAGTTGTTCTGTATGGTTAACAGGAGACAGACTTGGGACAGTGGATGTTAGTTTTAACATTTTTTCTTTTAGTTCCCTTAGAACTCAGTTGGTAAAGATTTATTAACCCAGTAATATGCTAGTGATGTTTGGAATAATTTTTGTTTTAAACAATAAAAATAATGGAGTCTTGAAGTTATCCATATAAAATTTCACCTTAATAATTCATAATATGTTGCCTAAAGAGGATGTGTAAGGCAGAATTTTCAAACTATTTTAAGCCACCATATCTTTCTTAAATAGAAGACCGAAAAGATACGTTTTTTTTTTTCTTAGTTCATGATTTAGAATAACTTTTAAATGATTTTTTTAATCAGCACCTTTAGGATCAAAAATGTTGTTTAAAATAGTGGTGCAAAATACAAATTTGGGCCCTCACCTAGGTATGTTGTTGTACAATCTGTGCATCACATATAATGCTGGTAGTAGAACTTGGAGTAGAAATAGCTTCAGTTAATTAT